TGCAGATAATGTGTTGTAAAATGCACTATTTCGGAGACTTCAAATTTTTTTATTTTTCATGCTCATACATCCCGATGTCGAGATGATCAATCAAAAGGTTTTTCAACATTAAAACTACCTTTTCTGATGGAGTTTTGAGGTGCATCCATAGTTCTACATTATAAGGTTGCATCCTTATATAAACTTTTTCCATTAAAAAAATAGCATATCTTTTAAGGGGGTATCAAATTTATGCCATCCAAATAAAATAAAAAATATAGATTGTTACAACCTTACTTCCATACGTACGGTTATAACCTCATATTAAATTTTTTCCAATAAATGAAGCAGACATTTCATAAATTATTTTTTATAATTATTTTTCTTTTATATTCAATATCATCATAGCCTAGAATATAAATCTCTATAATTTTTTGATGTAAAATCCATCTTTAAGATTATCTTTAGAGGTGGGAAGAATATGCATATTTGAGCCCAAAGACATAAAAACCTTATCCTTCAACAAGTTTTCCTTAACAATGGAAAAAGTTTATATAAGGTTTCAACCTTAAAGTGTAGAATTAAAAAGATGTTGTTTTAATGTTGAAAAACCCTCTAATTGATCATCTCGACATCAAGATATATGAATATGACAAAAACAAAAAAAATATTTTCAGTCTTAGAAATAATGCATCCTGCAACATATCATCTAGACCGTCCATTTTCAAGATTTTTATATGTTTATAGATCTACTTGATTTTAATCATTTTTGAAGTTTAAACTTTTATAATTAGATATTAGTTTTTCAAATAATCCTAATAATTTTTTACACCCAAATTACATGTTATGATAAAATTTAAAGGTACACCCAAATTACATGTTATGATAAAATTTGGATTGTTTAATGTTGCAACCTTATAGAAACCACACCCTTTACAAAAAAAAAATGATAGTCTTTAGAAATAAAGCTACATTTGATGTACTTCAAAAACAATCAAGTGATCAAGCCAATCTTGATTGCCTTGTTCCCTAATACATCATGAGATCGAGCTAAACCAGCTCGACTGATTCTCGATTCTGACAAGGAACTGGGTTAGTAGGATTGATTTCCAATCTGAATCTGTTATCCTTGATCCGGACTAGTGAAACTTAAGTCACTACCTGCTAAGTGACCAAGTAAGGACCATATCGCCAAAATAACACACTCAAATGAGCACTCACTATTATATTATGGGTGTGGTTTATATATGATGGTGACTTTATTAATAGAAATAAAGTTGTAGTATTTTACATCATCCATTTTAATTGAACGGTATAGATTTGACCTACCTTTCAACTTGATTTCAAAAAGTGACACATCTTTTAAGATATTATCAAATCTACACCATCAAAATAAAATAAATTTCATAGAATTTTACAACCTTATATAACTTTCTCCTTATATTATTGCCCAAATTAATTCTATCCACCGTTGTAAAAGACTGCAAACTGTACCGGAACCGACTGGTTCGCATTGAGAGCTGGTGGGGCCGGTCCGTTTCCCTCTGGGAATGGTCGGTTTTGGCTGGTTCTCCGACAAAACCTTGTAGCTCTATCAAAGAACCAGCCCCACCTCTTATTTTTTATTTTTTGTTCTCTATTTTTTTAAAAAAAAATGTGGCCAGAACGTTGATATGGACCGCCGATCTCCTAAACCAAATTGGTTTTTTGGATAGGCGATCTGGGTCATTGATAAGTGTTTTTTTGAAGCCTCCATTTTATCATTGTACTGGTCTCAAACTTCATATCTTATTTACACATTGAAAAGGCCTTATATTGGAATGAATTTAGTAATGGAAAAGTATACGAGGTCATTTACTTTTAATTAATACAAGGAGGTCACAATTACATTTGTCCGTTGGATTTCAAATCGGGTAATTGTGAGTGTGTTATTGATTAGATTCAAAAAATTTAATAAAATTAAAAAACTTTATGACACACCCCATGCCGCCATCGTAAGTCTTGTTTAAGTATTTCTTGGTCATACATACTCTCCTTGATCCCACTCGTTACACTTCATAATCCTATTCTCTTGCCATAAGCAAAACAGAGATATCATTACGCAAGAATAACGGGAAAATTACAAAGAAAACCTCAAATCTACACTTTCTATACAATTTACCCCCAACTTAGCTTTTCTCTCCTTTTTTACCCAAAAACAAACTTTCTAAGCAAATACTCCCTTAAAGAAAAAGTTCATTTTTTTAAGCAAAAATGCCCTTCTCGTACACCGAAATCATTTTGGACAGATGTTGACTTTTGCACCAGTAGCACATTGCCAGAGTGCACCATCATATTGCCAGACCACCATTTATAACGGTCGGACCACTCTTTTCAATTGCCGGAGCGCATTTTACACAATGTTGGTGCCCTACTACCAAACCGCACTTTACATAGGTGCCGAAGCCTTACTGCCGGACCAAACTTTCTATAATGCAGAAGCGCTACTGTCAGACCGTACTTACATGGTGCCACAGCACTTTTTCGGTGGGATAGAGGAGAGGAAGGCATGGGTAACGTAAAAGTAAGATATGGTAGTTTAGGCATTTTTTTTTTTGTTATTTGGTTAAGGGATTTTTGCATGGCAATTTTATTTTGGAGAAAAAAAGTTACACAGAAAGTTAAAGTTGGGGGTAAGTTGAATACAAAGTACAATTTTGGGTAATTTTTTTTTTTTTAATTATCGTGAGAATAAAACTGGATTTCTTACCAGGGTAATTCAAAGAAAGAGTAACTGCAAATATCAAAGCCATTTTTATTAGCAAAGCAGTCACCCCAGAACCTCAACACAAATGCGAGGAAGCATATTCCAGCCAAGGCCCTATCTTCTTCTCAGCCATACCAGGTTAAGGCACGTGTTTCGTTCTTTTGCCAAACTAAACACCTTCGACCCATTCGAAAATGAGAGCCAAGAGGGAAAAGGAGGGAAGGATGCGGAGGCGGAAGAGGAGCCTTTGTACCTGCACAGGAGCAGGGGCCAGCACTTGCTCACCAACCAACGCGTGCTGGACGCCATTGTGGGCAAGGCTGGGGTGGAGCGGACCGACACGGTGCTGGAGATAGGGCCGGGCACTGGTAACCTCACCCTCACCCTCCTCCACCACGTACGCCATGTCATCGCGGTCGAGATCGACCAGCGCATGATACGTGCGCTCAACTCACGTGCCTCTATGCTAGGCCTTGCTCATCAGTTAACAGTAAGCTCACTAGGGCCACCAAGTGCTTGATAAAATTCTCAACTGACCTATCCACTCGTTAAAATTTAGCAGCGGAGAGAGCTCCCCACACTTCAAAATTAGCCACACACATACAGTACAATGGCATATATAAATTCCCTATCTTGTTCACATTTTCCAAACTTTCGTACCTTACAAAACTATTTTCCATAGGTCACTATATTCTCTTTTATTCTATGGATAGTGTATCGGATATTCTTATATATCTCTCCGTGTATGTGTGTATACTTTTATTTTAAAACAATTTCTTTTGGATTTGTTTTAAATTTATTAGTGCATTTTGGCCCTGTTCGCTACTTGGCCAAGTGCACTCGGACATTGCTGAGCTACTGGCCTCGGGTCAGGGCTGAGTCCGAGGTCGGAGGTGAGTTGAAATGCGTTGGCATGGAAATAGGGAATTGCTTTTTCACATTATGTTTTTGACATCATCAAAAGTGCTTTCCTCAATTCCCTCCAAAAACATGAGTGGTATTATCAAAAGATGCACTCTAGTTTTTCCGCATAGCTCAACGATAGGTTCAAATAGCAATGCCCTGAAAATGATACAACTAAAAAACAGAGTTGGAAGTCATTACTGATATAGCAACCATTCACTGCCGTTTTGATGGTCACAACTACTATTTGAAAATTCACCCATAATTCTTATATAGGACACAGACCAGGATGGGTCTCGGTGAGCCTTGTCCAAGACATATCCTGGTCTTGTCAAAAGACTCAAACTACTATTCTCAAGAATATCATAGTTTTACAAGATGCCACTACATGTGTCCACTTGACTTTAGTCTCAGCCGAGTCTGAAATGTTGGACATTGATCACAACTCAACACCATCATGTGGTAAAACCATATCATTCTGTACATAATAGTGCTAAAGCCTTTGTAACGGTCTCTACAGCAGACAATAGAAGTAATGGCCTATGGCTGGTATAATGGCATTTGACTCTTGCTTACAACGGTTCAGGTCATATCTGGAGATGCACTAAAGACCCAATTCCCACCCTTCGATCTCTGTGTGGCCAACATCCCCTACGGTATATCATCCCCTCTTATCGCCAAGTTACTCTTTGACCAAACCATCACACCCTTTCGAAATGCCACTCTTCTCCTTCAAAAAGAGTTTGCATCTCGACTTCTTGCTCGACCCGGAGATTCGGCCTTTAACCGCCTCGCTGTTAACGTTCAACTGGTGGCACACGTTCAACACTTAATGGGTGTGAGCAAACGTGACTTCGTTCCCTGTCCTAAGGTCGACTCCTCGCTTGTGAAGATTGTTCCAAATTCTGTTAAACCAAATGTAGATTTGAAGGAGTGGTGGGCGTTTACTAGAACTTGTTTCTGCAAGAAGAATAAGACATTGGGTGCAATTTTCAGGCAAAAGAAGAAGGTTTTGGAGCTTATGAAGAGGAGGAGCATGGTTAGGAAAGGTGGGAATGATGAGTGTGGTTTTGTTTTTGAGGATGATGAGAGTGAGGATGATGGGGAGGAGGGGGAGGGGGTGGAGGTGAAGGGTGGGGAAGTGAGCGAGTTCAAGGAGAAGGTATTGAGTGTGCTAAAAGATGGGGGTTATGAGGACAAGAGGCCTTCCAAGCTTTCCATTGATCAGTTTCTGCATCTTTTGACTATGTTTAATAATGGTGGGATACGTTTTCATGGTTAGTTTTGAATATCTCCCTATCTATCACACACACATGTTCCATTCCAAATATTTGTTTCGAGAACCATGTGTTGTGTGACGATTGGTTCATTTACTTTTCATGTTTTCTTCTACTTCATACAAAACCTTATGGTTTGTTTGACAACTTGGAATTTACTATTTGTTTATCACGTCACCCACCCTTAACACTTCTAAATAACAAGTGGTTGAAAAATTGACAACAATCCCCAAAGTCAGCACGAACTTGGGCCAGTTCTGAATGGTCCCAAATCAAGTGACTGCCTCGGGTTGCTAGATATCCAAAACTAGGCAGTCTGTTCACTCTTCAATGTAAAGATTGCAATTCTAAAATTTAAAGCAATGATCTAATGCAACAGTTGTATCATAGTATAATACAACGACACTTTTAAAAAATCATGTTTGTGGTATTTTTATGACCTCAAATTTTGCACACACACTCTTCATCTCAATAATCAATCTCCCAAAAAAAAAAAAGTTCAATTTGAACTTTAGATATGGTCAAAATGAATCCCCTCCAAAAATGAATATAGACCATTCATTTTGTGAATTTCAAGATCTTAGGTTTTATAAACTCAAAATCATTTTTTTCTGTTTTAACATTATTCATCTAATGACAATAAAGCTATCCAAAAAATTTGGAAATAAAAAAATCCTTTAAGATCTAGATCTAAGCATCTCTTCAAAATGAACGGTTTATGTTAACTGGGCTAAAAAAATACTTTCTAAGTTGTATTTTCAATTTTTTTTTTTTTTTTGGTTGATTGTTCATTAGAACGAAAAAAATATATATTTCAAATTTTAGATCAAACAAATGGCAATAAGATAGTTTTTTAAAGTTGTTGCCTCATATTACTGTTCTGCAGTTGCATAAAATCATTGCCAATATTAAGAAAGTGACCTAGGATCTTAACCTGAATTAGATTCAGCACCGAATAACCCCATTAAGCCCAAGAGAGATACTGGTCATATGGTAGAGATCACACTCACATTTTTGGAGTTCAGGGTTTCATTAACATACTTTCATAACATACTTTCAACTGTGCTGTCACATTTTTGGAGTTCAGGGTTTCATTAACATACTCCAACTGTGCTGTTTACTAACAAAGTACTCGTACTCGTACGTACTGCAGATTGTGTTCAGTTTGCCATCCCAAGGGTGAATACTACGCTAGTGAAATACCATGGGAAACTTGTGCAGCATTTTGGATTTATGGGCAATCCTATGGGAGATTAGGTTGATTTCAGACAAACATTTTATCCACTTTGGTTCCAGCTTTTAGGCTTGCCCTAAATCAAACAAATTACTTTTGCGTATTAATTGGCCAGGACAATGCAATGGCTTTAAAATCAATTATATAGTCTTTATTTTATTTTATATTTTATGCTAAGAAATTGTGGTGATAGAAATTACCTTTGGAGAATGCTGTCAGCTACCAGGCCAAACTCATTTATTGTGCTGCCCCCTTAAAACAAAAGAAACTCTTAACATTTTTAAAAAATAATAAAGTAAAAGAATACTCAATTGACGTACATGACTGCAAAGGGCAAATTGATTCCATTCTCTATACTTTCAAAAAAAGGGTGCAATAGCATTGGAGAGGAAATAACATCAAAGAACAATACCAGACATTGCATTTTGATAAATGCCAAATGAAATGTTATTAGGCATATATATAGTTTGCGTATACATTATAATGGTATGGAAGTTGGTGATTAACATTCTCCAAAAAAAAAAAAAAGAAGACGTGGAGGTAGGTGATGCTGTACATTATGAACTATCAAAGAGAGAGAGAGAGAGAGAGAGAGAGAGAGAGAGAGAGAGTAGTAGTATAGTAGAGGAAGGAGGAGTAGGTAAGGAAGGGTAGGGTAGGTAGGTAAGGAGCGTACGTACACTATTCACGTCCGTGTAGGTAGGTAAGTAGACTATAGT